TGCCCTGATGCCCCACGCAGAGCCAGTGTTAGGGCCGGCTCGCAGAGCCTTGGGACCTGCTGCTCCTGAGGGAGGGGCCTTGCACTTCTCTGGCCGGGAGCTCTGCTTCCAGCCAACCACCTCCTGCCAGGCCTACGTGTGGTCTGGCTGAGGCTCCTCTAGCCTGGGCTGGCTGGGTAGGGGCACTGTACCCCACTCTGCCCTCACCGGGAGGCAAGGTGCTCAGTGGGCAGATACCAGCCCTCCCCTGCGAGGCTGGGCTGGCCCCGCAGTGTCCTGCTGTTCCCACTGCTCTGGGGCCTGACCCAGGAGATGCTGGCCACACAGCGCCCTGGCCTGGGGCCCTGCTACAGGCACCAGGTCCACCACCAGCTCCTTCCTCACGCACTGCACCCCGGAGCCCTCCAAGCAAAGCATCCAGGCTGTAGGCACCAGGCTCAGCCACCAGCTCCTGCCCCTAGGGCACCTCTGCCCCACCCAGGGGTGCGGGCTCCACGTGGGGCCCCGGCCAACCAGAAGAGGAGAAGGCGCTGGCCGCCCCCCTGGCCCGTCCTGCAGCCGCCACCCCTCCTCCCGTGCCTGCCTCTCAGCGGGTCGAGGTTCGCCCTCCCTGGAGCCGGCTTCATCTTGTTTTGGCTGCGCCCGTGCGCCAGGCCCATCCTTGCGACCCCGCTTGCATAAGGGGGAGGTATCCACTTTCGCAGGCTGACGCCTCCGTGCAGGCCCCAAGAGATCCCCCAGCCCACTAGGCATGAGGCGGAGCCCTCAGAGCCTCCTGCTCAGCAGGCGGCTTGTGCCTGGCAGCCGGGAGCGGCACCTCTGGCCCGAGTTGGCTGTCTCTTGAGCAGCAGGCACGGGCAGCCTCCGCCCTCTGGTTGCGTCGTCCCAGCGTTGGCGTCACTGCTCGCCACTGCCAGGGTGCTGTGGGCCTCCAGTCAAGGCGCAGCGTGGGGAGGGACACCCAGCCAGGAACTGGCATCCCAGCCGCCAGCCAGACCCCCGGAGGCAGCCCTGGGGGCAGGGCCCGGCCCCGCAGACCCCTGGATGAGGCCCAGCTGGCCCAGGTGTGAGGGCCACCGGCCCCGGCCCACAGCGCTGACCAGCCCTTGGCAGCTGCCACCAACAGGTGGGGCCAGGAAACTGGAGCTCTGAGCCCCAGGAGGGGATTACTGTGTCTGCCCGCCGGCCAGTGGGGCCGGCCCATCCCTCGCCTGTGATAACCGGGATGGCTCACGTTTCCCGCCCTGGCCGAGGTCGTGGTGACAATGAGCCCCTTGTGTCCCACACCGGGCACTGCTGTCCGGGGACAGAGCTGGGATCCTGGCACCAGGGCCATCACGCACCCCCACAAGACTGCAGCAGTCCATGCCCACGCAGGGACCCACCTCACCCTGCCAACGGTTTTCCACAGGGCAGTCCCGTCTGTAGCTGGGATGGGCAGCCTCTGTCCCCTCCCCACGGTCACCTGCTGAGGCCCCACGTTCTCCACGCACACCCCAAGGACCAGGGCCAGGTGTGTCCCCTTCTTCTACAGGCCCCCTGTACATACATCCTGACCAGGAAGGGACCCCTGAGGGCACACTTCAGTGGACCCTACCTCCCACTGCCCTCGGCTGGGGCTTTGTTGTAGCCACAGTGCCCGTTCCTGTGTCCCTGGGCCTGAGGATGCTGCTGTTCCTGGTGCTCGGCCCCCCAGGCCCCTGCCCGCCAGAGGCCAGACTCGCAGTCCCAGAGTGCAGCCCAGCTTTGGCTACCAGCTCCCCTGCAAGCCGTCGGGTCCCAGGCAGCCCTAGAATGGCTCAGCTTTCCTGCAGGCTTCCCAGCGATGGGGGGTGTTCACGCCAGGCAGTGGGCAGTGGACCCCTCGAGCATGGCTGGGGCCTCCAGGCACATGCGGCTTTGTGAGCTTGTGGCAACTGGACAGTGCCTTGTACTGCCCATGACAGTGGGCAGCCAACTCCAGGGAGACGGACACTGCAGTGCGCACACACACAGGGACACACACTCACACACAGACACACACCCACACACAGGGACACACACACACAGGGACACACACCCACATACACAAGGAAACACACACAGGGCCACACATGGACACACACAGGGACACACACACAGGGACATACACACACACACACACAGGACACACAGCCACACACAGACACACACATGCACACCCACACCCAGGGGCACCACATGCTTTCGCTTCCTGCAGGTCGCCCTCAGCCCCACCCACAGGGCTCCCCGCAATCCTGGCAGCCGGGGCTGTCTTGTGCACTGGCTGGAGCAGCTGTGGGTGTGGCCTGACCACGTGGATCCCTGGTGTCCACGTGGAAGAGGAGCTTGAGGAACAGGTGCCCCATAGCCCCGCTGTGTGGTTCAGCTCACCAGGGGACCACAGTGTGTCCAGCATGGCTGTGGGGGAACAGGAGGAGCTACAGGGTGGCCAGCCTGGGAGGGCCTGGGCCCTAGGGTGCCAACAGCTGACGTGGCAGGGTCTGGCGGTCTCCTGTGATCCAGCAGGGAGAACGATCCTTGGGAGGGGGTGACAGCACCCCAACAGTCTGCTCTCTCTCCTGCTTGCATGGTCTATGCAGCCTGCTGCCCACTGCCTGGCCTCTGCTGCCCTCTGCCTGGCCTCCGCTGCCCACTGCATGGTGTCTGCTGCCCACTGCATGGTGTCTGCTCTGCCCACTGCATGGCCTCTGCTGCATACTGCTTGGCCTCTGCTGCCCTCTGCCTGGCCTCTGCTGCCCTCTGCCTGGCCTCTGCTGCCCGCTGCCCAGCATCCTCCTCCTCTGCTTCCTGGGTGCTGAGCCCAGAGCCCCTAGAGTGGACCCAGAGCCCCACAGGTGAGTGCAGAGAGATAAATCCAGGGAGACTCCCTCCAAAGCCGGCTGGAAGTAAGGCATGGCTCTGGGGAGTCCAGGGTGCAGGACGTGGGGAGCCCACCCCTCAGCAGAAGCAGACTAGCCAGTGCTCAAGAGCTGGTGCTGCATACTGGCCAACCCCAAGTGGAGGGGCGCTGGCTGCCGATGGGAAAGCAGACCCTGGGCCCCAACCCCAGCTCCCTCACGGGGACCCGAGGACATTACTGTCCCCCCATCACCCCCTGCTGCACCTGGGAGGGGAGGGAGGCCAAATGGAGCTCCCTGCTCCTGCTTTTGCCTGACCCCACCCAGCGTTGCAGCCGCTTGGGGACTGGGTCCAAGGAGGGCTCTCTCCGTCTCTCAACGTCGCTCTTTCCATCTCTCTAAGACTGCTTGCAAAATAAATCAATCTTTAAAAAAAAAGTGACCCGAGTGACCTTGCTGGGAGGGCCTGGGTGGCAGAGGCCACCAGCTCTGTCGCTCTGTAGCCCTGGGGAGTCCCGGAGCCCCACCCTCCCCACATCCCCATAGCCAAAGAGGCCGGGACCTGAGGGCACACCCAGGCCATGGGACCCAGGACCTCAGGCCTACCTGTTGGCCAATGGGGTGCTAAGAAACCCCACCCCAGGTCCCCGGCAGCCCCACCCCAGGTCCCTGGCAGCTAGAGACAACAGCTGGAGAACACTTGCTCCCTCTGGACAAGGGTGTGGCCGCAGGTGGGCACCTTTGGGAGACCACGCTCCCCCTTCCCCTGCCTGTCCACAGCTAACAGGTCGACTCAGGGTGGGCCCTGCTGGGTCCTCCCCGCTGGGATCAGCATCCTCAGAGACAGAAGCAAGCACTGGGACAAACCCGAGAACCCAGTGGCCTCTGGGAGAGTGGCAGCGAGGTTCTAAGCCCCAACGCAGGACACAGTGCTGGGAGGAGGCTGCTGCTCAGACGAGGCACCCGGGGCGGCAGACCCCATGTCCCAGGATTGATTCCCTACGTGCCTTGGTGTAGACCACAGGTGGCAGCCACTCTGGGTCTGGCAAGTGGATTCCTGACACCCACCAGGTCCCCAGCTGGCCCACCTGTCGTCCTTGTTGGCCCTGCAGTCCTCCGCCTGCAGCTGGGGGGCAGACAGCAGGGGGCGCCCTCTGGCCCCCAGCCTCATCTCCAATTCCTCTCTGTGGAGCCTCTACCCAAGTGAACTAATTGGAAACCAGTTAAGATAAGCCAGACCCAATCAGAAAACAGTAAACTCACTGGGAGGAGGGGGTAAGGATGCCCACAGACAACCCCCAACCCAGCGGAGGGCTGGGAGCTGCAGGGCGAAGGCCCCCCAGCAAGAGCACAGCTCTGGGTGGGAAGGCGCCACGGCCCGGAGTCCACGCCCCGACTAAACACGGTCATCTCACCTAAAGGGAGGTGGCCAAGCCTCAGGTGGAGTGAGGCCGCTCATGTGCGAGGGTGTGTGTGTGGCACGTGTGCCTGGTGCCAGGGTGGGCACTAGAGCCTACACGGAGCCCTGGGGGCTCTGGGAAGAACTGCACGTGCAGTGACCCCAGGCAAGAACGGCAGCCACAGGCAGGCAGCCACCGGAGGAAGCGACCCAGCCACCCTGAGCACTTGGTCCCGCCCACAACATGGACACTCAGGGGGAGGACAGCGTCCAGCACTGTCCAGCACTGTTACCACGTCAAGCCAACAGGTGGGGGGAGGCAAGCACGGGATGACGGGGTGTAGGGTCACGGACCCGCAGGGCAGGACACACGTGTGCAGCAGGGTGTGGGGTGCTCTGGGGGCCTTCGCTGGGCTTTGGGTGCAGTTGGTGGGGATCCCTGCCGTCGGCCCTCCACGTTGCCCGCAGGGGTCGGGGTGTGGTCAGCAAAGCCGGTTGCAAGCGCAAATGCCAGGGCAGGAGACCCACAGGTGGGCGTAGAGGCAGTGACACCCCGTGCGGACAGGGACTCCCGCTCGCTGCCCTCAGCCTTCTGCAACCACCAGGCTCCAGCGGTCCTCACCTGCGCTCCCTGCTTGCTCCCTGCTTCCCTGTCGGGCCAGATCCACCTAAACCCCTGCCCTGCAGCACAGACTCCCTGCGGTGTCCAGGCAGGGAGGCAGGAAGGAGCAAGCCCCAGGCACTGTCACAGTTCTGTGTTTTATTGGGCGGCTGTGGCCGTGGCCTCAGAAGCACCTTCTCTGGATCACCGAGGTCCCGAACTCCTTGAAGTCGGCGGCCGTGACCCACATCTGCTTGAAGCTGCTGAGCGAGGTGACGATGGAGGCTCCGATCCACGTGGAGAACCAGCGGTCGGGCGGCACCGTGATCTTGATGGCCGTGCCCTTGGAGGCCAGCGGCTCCAGCTCCCGCAGCAGCCGGTCGTCCAGGCCCGGGAAGAGCGTGGAGCCCCCCGACAGCACAATCTCGCCGAACAGCGTCTTCTGGATGTCAACGTCACACTTGGCGATGCTGCTGGACACCATCTTGGACAAGCCCGGGCTCTGAATGCCCAGCTGCTCGGGCGCGAACAGCACCTCGGGCGCCTGGTGCAGCGGGTCGCCCACGTACACCACGTGGCCGTCGGGCAGCTTGTACTCCTGCAGCCGCCCCTCAGGCCTCCGGGACAGCTCCTTGTCCGGCTCCAGGGCCACGTAACACAGCTTCTCCTTGATGTCGTCCACCAGGGCCTTGTCCAGCAGGCAGGGGAAGACGCGCCCGCTGGCCAGCAGAAGCCGCGTCAGCAGCTCCGTGATGTCCCTGCCCGCCACGTAGAGTTTGGTGACAGCGTGTGGCAGTGAGTAGCCCTCGAAGATGGGCACGGTGCAGGTGACGCCGTCCCCGCTGTCCACCACCAGCCCCGTGACGCAGGCCGAGGCGTACAGGGCCAGCACGGCCTGGTCCGACAGGTAGAAGGCGGGCACCCCGAAGCTCTCGAACATGAGCTCGGCCACCTTCTCGCGGTTCTCCCGGGGGTTCAGCGAGGGCTCGGTCATGAGCACCGGCCGCTCGCTCGGCTTCACGCCCAGCTCCCACTCGAACAGGTGTTTCCACAGCCGCTCCATGTCGTCCCAGCCCGTGATCAGGCCGCGCTCGATGGGCTGTCGCAAGTGCAGCGTCTCATACTTGTACAGTGCCTCCTCCCCCACAAAGTACTTCTTTTGGCTGGCCCCCGCCGAGGCCGTCTGGAACTTGGGGTGCCCCACCACGGAGCTGACGACGTGCCGCGGCCCGATCTCCCCCGACAGGCCCGCCTTGCACAGCCCTGAGCCGTTGTCGAAGATCACCGCGGGGGCCTCGAGTGTGTGGGGGCTGAACATGCCTGCGGCATTCTACCCCGGGCACAGCCCAGAGGGAGCGAGGTGCAGCGCCGGGTCTAGTCCAGGCTCTGCTGGCGTCTGCGGACCGGGCCGTCTGGCTTCGGGGGAGTCCCTGGCAGGGGCTAGCAGGCCACATCCAGCACCCAGGAGCCCGCCATCCTCCACCACCAGCTGCTGTCTACCCGTGCCAGCCCCTGCCCAGGCCCTTTCAAGGGTGTGGCCGCCTAGGTCACAGAACTGGCCTTGGCGACCATTGTGTCGGGGGCAGAGGCTAGGGTGGAGGCGGGGCGGAGCGTGGACGCTGAGTGGGGGAGGGGGAGATGGGAAGCCGGGGAGGGGACATTGAGTGGAGCTAGCACCAGGACGGGGCTTCGGGGGAGAGCCACGCGGCTGGGCGTTCCAAGAGCCAGACTCTCTGGCCTAAGCCACAGCCTGTTCACACACACACACACACCCTGGCCCCACATGGAGGGGCCGCAGCTGCAGCAGCCATGTCCCGGCTCGCACCCCGAGCAGCCTCTTCCAGGGAGGACTTGGGCCACCTGCTGCGGGGTCCTGGGCTCCTGGGGGAGGGGCTTGGGCCACCTGCTGTGGGGTCCTGGGCTCCTGGGGGAGGGGCTTGGGCCACCTGCTGTGGGGTCCTGGGCTCCTGGGGAGGGGCTTGGGCCACCTGCTGCGGGGTCCTGGGCTCCTGGGAGAGGGGCTTGGGCCACCTGCTGTGGGGTCCTGGGCTCCTGGGGGAGGGGCTTGGGCCACCTGCTGTGGGGTCCTGGGCTCCTGGGGGAGGGGCTTGGGCCACCTGCTGTGGGGTCCTGGGCTCCTGGGGAGGGGCATGGGTCAGGTGCTTCCCCTGGCCCCAGGACTTCTGTTTGGAGCAGGAGGCTGGTGTCCACTCCCCAGGGGCCAGCAGCCTCATCTTCGGCCACTTCGGGGAGAAGAGAGCCTGCCCTTGCCTAGCGCCTCATCTCACCACCAGCCTCTTGGGGCTTCGCCCCTTGTATTCTGGGATCCCCAAAAGTCCAGGAGCCTCCCTGGAGCAGGAGCGAGGCTGTGGCCTGGACGCAGCCACAGAATGACCTGCACACATCCCCCTGCTGGACACCGTGGCCAGCTGCACTGACCAGCAAGCAGTGCGAGAGGCCTGCGCGTGTCCTCTGCATGTCCTAGGACACGGCCCCACACATGTCCTCCGTGTGTCCTAGGAGAGGGCCCCACACATGTCCACCACGTGTCCTAGGAGAGGGGCCCACACATGTCCACCACGTGTCCTAGGAGAGGGGCCCACGCGTGTCCTAGGAGAGGGGCCCACGCGTGTCCTGTGCGTGTCCTAGGAGAGGGGCCCACGCGTGGAGGGCTAGTGTAGCTACAATGAGCCCGCTGGTGTCTCCGTCACTTGGGGAAGGCACAGGGCAGCACAGTGCCCGCTGCTCAGCTGGGGGCGGATGGGTGTCCTGGCAGAGCCCCGTCTGCTTGCCAACACGGGGGCCGTGCCCCAGCTGACCAGAAGCCGCCATCCGGGCCTGCCCATCCTGTCCTGGCCAGCGCAGCCTCCTCGTATGTCGTAAATCGCTTGAACACGTTTATGGGCAGTGTGGCCACAGCTCCTCCCCTGCGCCGACGGGGCGTGACCTGTGACCCGCCTGGGGCCAGCGCTTCCGTTCCAGCGGAAGCCTGGGGGTCACCCGGCAGCCCCTGCCACCTCAGGTCCCACCTCCCAGGAGGAGCCCGAAGGCCATAGGGGACGCGCTCCGAGGTGAGTAGACAGCATGGCCGTGCGATGCCCCTTCTGCCCTGGGCTGCCCAGCCCCGGTCCAGAGCCCTTCTGCCCAGCTGTCCCTGGTGCCCGGGACCAATTAGTGGCCAACAGACGTGGCTCGTTAAGGCCGGCAGCATCTGGCAGCCAGACCTCGGTGCCGACGGGCAGGGGGACCCTCCCAGGCCATCGCTGCCTTTTGCTCCAGAGGGGCGGCACTGGGGTCAGGGCTGTGGGGGCCTGTAGGTGCCCAGGGGACTGCTCACTTGTTCTGTCAGCACCTCCAAGGCCCCAGGAGCACAGCCCTGAGTTCGAGCTGGTGCCGGCTTCCTCAGTGCGTCCCCACCTCAGAGGCTGAACTGAAGCTGAGCTCCCTGTGACCCCGTCCGCCTCTGCGCAGCTGACACCCTGGACGGGGAGCGGGGCGGCCATGCTCCCCGAAGCCGCCCAAAGCCAGAAGCTCTGGCCGCTGGGAGCTGGGCCGGGCGGGGCTGTTGTGGTACCTTTGGGGCTCCTCTGGGTGAGAGCCTGGGCGATTGGGGCTGGGGATGAGATGTCCAAGTCCCCCACCCCGTGTCCTTGCAGAATCTGGCCCTGGTCCTTCACCTACAGCGCTCGGCTCCGTACAGGTTCCCCACAACTGACCGTCTCCTAAGGCCTGGAGGCCTCGGGTCCCCAACACGTGGCCTGCATCACTCCCACCGTCTGGTCCCCACCTACAGGTGTCCCCAGGCCACTCCTCCGGGAACGTGGGGAGCACTGATGCTTCATAGGACAGGTGTATGGACAGGTGCACCTGCTGGTGGTGCCCAGCGGCCACCGGGAGTCAGAGGTTCAACACAGACACGTGTGTGTGTGTGTGTGTGTGTGTGTGTGTGTGTGTGTGTGTGTGCGCGCCGTGTCTCTCTGTGCTGTGTCTGAGTGCTGTGTGTGTCTCTGTGTGTGTCCCTCATATCTGCAGTGTAGTCTTGGTCGGGGGGCCCAGCCTAGACTCAGGGGTCACAGGTGCCATCATGGTGGTCACCCCCAGTAGCCACCAGAGCAGAGCCGTGTCCACGACCAGTGGTTGCAGCCACCAGGAGCCCTGCCCACCCCAGGCACAAGCAGATGTGGGCCATACCAGCCTGGCTGGGCTGTGCAGCCTCGGGTCCTGGGAGTTCGCCCTGGACACTGGATGCCAACACTCTCCCATCTCCTCAGCCTCTGAGAGCACCCACCCATGGGTCCCTGGCCAGTCCTCCTGGAGCGGCCTCAGAGCACAGCATCCCCTGCCCCCTGCTGGTGCTCAGGGGGAATGCCATGGGCTGGGTAGGGGTTGTGGGGAGCAGAGTTGGCAGGCACCAGGAGGGACGAATCCCTGACCCCAAGTCAGGAGGAGTTGGGGGCCTGGCGGGGAGCAGCCACCTTGCAAGATGAAGCAACTGCCTAGGCCCCCCGTCTGCCCCACCAAAAGCCAGCAACCGGCCTCAGACAGCGGCTGCAGAGCCAGGGTAGCCCCAGAGGAGTAGGCAGGCTTCCTGGCCCAGCCAGTGATGAAAGACCCAGGGCACAGGGTCTGGAAAGTTCCAGATTTAATTCCAACCACGTAAGCTGTGGCGTAGAGAGAGCTCTGTGAGGAGCAGAGCGGTGGCTGGAGGACGCAGACCCAGACAAGCCTGTATTCCGTGGTGCACATGGCGGGGAGGAGCGGCAAGCCCCCGGCCCGGGCAGGATCGTCCCTGCCTTGCAGATGCGTCAGATCTCCCCATGGACGGGCTCTGGCCAAGGACCAGCCATGCAGCCTTGCACATGGACAGGACTGCACAGGGGCGGGGTGGGTGAAGGAACGTGGCGTCCGTTGACAATGGTACCCTGGCAGGCGGGGCTTGGTTAACACAGGCTAGGCCGTACCCCGACTTCTCTGGGGCCGAAGTCTCCAGACAAGCATGGGAGGGGGCAGGAGGGAGCCCCAGGAGGCCGGGTGGGCGGCTCCCTTGGGGGCAGTTACTGTGCTTGAGACCAAGGTCAGTTGTGGCAGATCCACCCACCCCTACCCTGAGTGGCCGCCTTGCCAGGACCCCCTCTCCCAAGGCCTCTGTTGGGACCACAGGTGAAGCCACGCCTACCTGTGCACGCCCCTGGCCCCTGTGGCCCCCGTGGCCCCCGTGGCCCCAGGCCTGCTCCTGGAAGCAGCCCACAGATGCCAGACCTGGGCACCCGACTCCGTTCCTGCTGCTGCCGACCTGTGGGCAGTGCAGACCAGGGCAGCCTACACCTGTGTGTGGGCCCGGCTCCAGCTGTCATGGGGCCAAAGGAGCAAGCCAGCCTCAACAGGCTGCTGTCTGTCCGTGTTGACCCCATACACAAACATATGGAGCTCTTCCCAACTTTAGAACTCACGAGTGTGTGTGTGTGTGTGTGAGCTGTGGCATGTGTATGTGTGAGTGGGAGCTATGACGTGTGTGTGTGTGTGTTTGTGTGCGAGCATCCTAACTGTGAGGGCCGGGTCAGCTGACACGACCCAGCTGCGGCCCTGGAACCTTCCACGCTGCTGGGAGGAGGGTGTGGTGTGTTACCCGGCTGCTGGGAATGCTGAGCCCAGGTGCTCGTGCGGGACACAGCTGGGCTGTGGACAGATGAACTCAGGTGAATGGATGGATGGGTGATGGGTGGGTGATGAAGGAATGGGTGATGGGCGAATGGGAAGGGTTGGATCAAGCTGTTCTGGATTCGAGTGTCCCTCAAGTTGATGGACCCTGAGGCAGCTCTTGTGGGGCTCAGCGGCCACGGCAGGTGACACTCCAGGCCCCCAAAAGGCTGTGTGCATGCCGGCATGTGTGCTGGACAGCATGGCTGTGATGTGTCACAGGGCGTCCCCGGCCCCGTGCCAGCTGGCCTTGTTGTAGCTGGGCTGCCGGGGCCGCCTCTTGCTCCCCGAGAATGGAGAGGCTGGGGCGGAGGAGGCCGCGAGGCCGGCCTTCAGGTCTCTGCATTCCGGGGGGACTCAGCGCCACATGAAGAACAGACCGCACGAGTGATTATGGTCTCCAGTCATGCGGGCATCTCTGACCAAGGGGTGGCATCCCAGCAGGGAGCCAGCTCAGAGGGTGACCAGGGAGGCCACGTCCACAGGGACCAGTGGCTGCACAGCAGTGGGACAGACCAGCAGGGGAGAGTGCTGGTGGCCAGGGCATAACTCGGCACCCCGGGGCCCGAGCATGCGGACAGCGGGGCCGACACAGAGTTGGCATAGCCACCGTAAGAAAGC